CTTGCTGTAGCAAGTCCATATCAGCGATATCGACGATGAAGACGATAGCGTTGACGCCACGGCAGTATCTTTCCCACATCGTTCGAAATCGGGGCTGGCCACCAATATCCCAACATTTCAGTGTAACGTGTCCTCGTTGCACCCGCTTCATGTTGAATCCGACCGTCGGGATCGAGCTACACAAGATATCAGTTAGCCGAAGATGCCGCTAGCCGAGACCGATTACACCAGAGATGGTACAGTAGGCAGTTCTGAGGGGTGAAGAAGAAACGGAGGTCGCTTACTCGATGGTGAACTCGCCGCCCTACAAGTGTAAATGTCAGCGTGCGAACGGCTTTGGTGCGAAGGAAAACTTGACAATGTAGGAAAACATTCACTTACTGCGAGGACGCGGAGCAGAGACGTCTTACCCGCATTTTGGAGACCGATCATCGTCACATCCATCTCTGTCGCCCTGTCGTCGCAAGTCAGCTCAAGTTCAAGATACCATCCCCGAGGATCGAGGGTAAGGGCAAAGTGGGCGCGGCGGGGTAAGGTCAGAGCGCGCGGGCCGTCCATCGCTGAAAATCACCCCCGCTGTTCATCGCGGGAAGCAAAGTGCACTCACCAGAACGTCCTCAACAGCCAGTCGTACACTTTCCGGAAAAGCCCCGCCATGGTGGTGGTGTATAATGAGCGCGATGCGCTGGTGTGGAGGAGGTAGTATAGGATGCGTAGGTGGCCAAAAGAGGTGTCGCCAACGTGTGTTGATCTTGGATCCGGATACAGCGCAACGGCAATAGATGTTGCGCAACGGAGAAAGGTCGGTGGCGCGGCGATTACTATTTCGTTCGGAAGAGAGTTCGATACGGTGAGAGACGGAGAGGGATGAAGGATGGGTGCGGAGTTGTGATTTGGATGCTTAAGTATTCGATGCGCTCAGACGCCTTTAAAAATTGGAAATAAAAATGTCTCGTATGACCCGTGGTAACCGACCAAATGTCGCAAATCAAATGTCGCTGGCATCGACGTGGGAGATGGCGGCACAGGTTGCTGCTCTGCTCTGTGCGATGATGGGGGCGGGAGAGACAGAGAGAGAGAGGCTCGATGGGCGTCGCTGGTTTCTCGTTGGCGGGCGACGACACTGGAACTGGGAGCAAGTTGCGGCGCAGATGCAGGTGCAGACAGTGCAGGCGGCGGGCGGGAACCAGAAAAGAAGAGCGCAGGTGACGCTTGGCCTGGCCTGGTCTGTCCCTTTGGGGCCGGAAGAGGTACCTCGAGCAGCCTGTGAGGTAAGGTAAGGTATAGTAGGTCCCCACCAGAGAAAGACGGGATGGCGAGGGTCGTGGAAGTGACTGAGTACCCTGGATCCGGCTCAAGCTTGGGGTCGGGGGACCGGGGTCGGGAGGGGAGGGGCACAAGCTGTAGGATGAACAGTGCCGAATTTGGAGTCGCAAGAATTGGCGGTTGGGGATGAAAAGACGACTGGGAATAACCGCGTTGACAGGGTCTGCAGCGGTTACAAGATCAACGACTAGGGTTTCATTCGTTTGCTTCTACCGGATCATGTGGATCTCTCCACGATAGGCGCGAGAAAGGGCTGCGATCAGGGACGAAATTGTAGGTCAACCGGGTGCCGGTGCACCTGATTTCGGGTGTGAGTGCCTTTGCAGTACGTTATGTGCGGCAGCGGCATGGAAGTCAATCCACTGACGACAGCAACGGCAGCGGTAGCAGGGATGAGATGCGAACGTGGCGGCGGCGGCGAAGGGTGATTTTCGACAAGGACCAGCCTACGAGGCGGTTGTTCAATACCACGGCGCTCGATCCGACTATGATGAATCTCTTTCGCAGAAGTGGATGACTTGACTAAAGTACGCTTCCGTGACCTGGTGTGAAAGCTCGTGGATCTGCTCCCGGATGCCAATGTCAAATGAAGGGGATGTGACGTATGGTTGAAATTAATGGTGCTTGTAATCCGGTGGGCGAACGGCTAAGGTAGGCAGAGGCAGACGGCGACGAGGCGCGATAGCCTAGACGTCCTGGAAGTCACCAGAACCCGATATGGGTGGGCCAAGTCGGTCTTAGCCGGCTTAGGTTGAAGGGTTGCAGCGATTCGAACCGTGGTGTCCAAAGTAAGGCCAAGACATGCAGACTTCCAAGGCTAATAAAGGAGGCCCCGAATTGATGCGGTGGGCGCGAAGGCTGGCTTTCCACCTCGGATGTTGTTTAGTCGGCCTCAGGGTAAGGTAAGGTGTGCAAGGTAAGATTGCTCAGGTGGTCGCGTTTGCGGGTGGATGGGTTGCGGGTGGATGGGTTGCGGGTAGATGAGTAGATGGTAGATAGATTCCCCAATGAAGAAAGATATGTCGACAAGGGGAAGGTGAGAGGAAGGATGAAGGGCGCGTGAGAACCCAGATTGTTGCAGGCGGCACAACTCCAGATCTGTCTGGCAATCCCCGTCAAGCAACCTGCGAGGGCTGACTGCGTGCGGGCCGAGGCAGGACGGTGCAAGGAGAGGGGAGAATGGTCGTCGACGTTGGGCGTCTAATGACGTTGTGACTGTGATGAGAGGCGAGGCGAGAAACGGGCGGCTCGCCGACAAAGGCGTTTGTTGGTGGCTACCTTTTTTTCTTTCTTGTGGAAGGATCACCAGCAACGGAGGTTGGGTAGGGTTCTGCAAGCGGGACGAAGAATTTATGCAGGCTCGACCTTGAGAGGTAGCCAAATGGGTATTTCGATGGCGCGAGCTGAGTGAAAGGCGGACCGGGCTGGATGAACAGAAAGCAATGAGATGGAAGCCTCGAGTTTGCTAGGAAAGCAGGATGCAGATCGGGAGTATTTAGCAACAACGGCGCATGGTCAGGGAATGGCCGTAAACTAGGTGAAGTAAGGTAAGGTAATGAAAGGGATGGACCGTAAGGCAGGCTGGGCTCTTTCTCCAGGCAGGCAAGCACGCGGGCGACAAAAGCCGCAGACAACCCAATTATATTCATGGAAGGCAGGAGCCTTTTCCGTAAGATGTACCTTCCACGGCTGGGGGTTAGTATGCCCGGTACGGGAGGGAAGGTTGAGGCAAGGAAGGCAGTAAGTCGCTTCAGTCTTACGCCCAATGGAAGGTGCGGCACTTATTAAGCTAAGGAATGGAATGGTACTTACCTACCTTACCTTAGGTAAGGCGAAATAATCTCCGTTTTCTCTACCTTGCCTTACTTTCTACGCTTCTCTAGATCCCGTTGTCAGTGGGCGTGGAAGGGACTATGAGAATAGAGGATGTAGGCGGGGGAGAAGAAGGGAACTTGCCCATTCGTTTGTGAATAGTCTGGCAGAACAAATGCGCTGAGCTGGCTGGGTGATCTGACGACCAAGGCTCGAGAGAACTCCCTACTACAGGACAGAAGAAAATCGTAATTGATGTCTGCGATATTCTCTTCCGAGCTAAGGTGGTGTCATTACACAAGCAGTAGGTGTTGGTACTGTTCATTGCCCTCAGTTACCTTGGTGTGCTTAGTGAGGTGTGAGGTAGATGGAGAGATATTACTGCGTAAGTACGGAACCTTGACCAAAAGCTGGAGAGGACAGGGGCTTGGCAGGTGAGACAGGCAGAGGCCAAGAGGCAAGGGCGGCAGCATATGTTATGCATCCTCCGGGCATCACCCTGTCATCATCTCATGACGGATGCGGAGTCGCGGAGACCGTGGACTACCTTACACAGAGTGAGAGCGAGAAGTATGTATCGCGAGGACCTCGGTGGGGGTTATCTCACGTAGAATGTCCATGGAGATGCCTTAGCTCCTAGCCTCGGTGAATCGGGCCCCAGTTAGTGTAGATTGGGCTGCAAGTCGCCAGCTGCTCGCTGTAATCCCTACTAATTAGGAGTCTTCCTTTGCTAGTTGCATTCTTAGGAGACTCCCGAAATCTAGATTCGGCGGGGAGGGTACCCATCCACCGCGAGTATTGGTGAGAACCAACGATTTCGGTGGTGCGGCATGACCACTTTACGCCTAAAGGCCGGGCCTGACTTGACCTTACCTCACCTCACCTACCTCACTTCACCTCTCTGCTACCCTACCTTCCAATTAGTGCGGAGAACTGTTACACCTTAGGCTGCCCAGTGAAGGTTGCTTACCTTGCCTGACGGATCCCACTTCGGGCTGGAAATTTCCGTCTTGCTGAAAGGTTTCCCTGGATGGATGGGTTCTACAATCCTATGTCAGAATTTGCTGTGCTGATTCGACTTAGTATGACCACTCAAGTTCATTGCGGCATGGCGCTGCCGCCAACCCAATGTACCATCTCGATCATCAGACGAATAGAGCAGAGTTCCGTCAGCGAACCCGGGCGATGACAGCCACCAACCATTGACGCGTCCACTTCCGCCTGCCATTCCCAGCTGTCGGGTTCACATCACGTTGAGTGACCAACCGGGTCCAGTCAAATGTGACTGAAATTTCGTGACAGATTAGAGGTTACGAACCATTGGTGTCACAGTCAAGAAAGCTGCAGGACACGCAATATCCCTTCTCTACGACTAATCAACTTCGGCATCCACAAGATAAGAAAGCAGAGCAAGGCCGTGTCTGAGATGGAGGCTGGCGTACGGACAAGAGTGGGTCGGTCTCCGTGGATATCGGGCGCCTTTCATAATCGGAACGCCGAGAGCATCTCAGTCCCGGGTGCACAATCCCGCGACAGTGGGGTTCCGTCTACGCGGGCCCTCCATTCCGGACGAGCATTTCAAGATCAGGGCCCCGCACCTCAGATAAAGCAACGTCCTCGCACTGTCTTGGATAACGGCCTGCACTTTCGACGATGCCGCGCCATGATTGGACGATGCAATTTTTTCCGCTCCAATCTCCATAATTATTTTTTTGTTTTCACCGAAGACCCGACTGTCGCATCCCAACCCTCTGCGATCCAGAAACCCGGTGCAGTAGGAAGAAGTTTACATTTTCGCCCTCCTTGTCTCTGTCGCGTTTGTCTTGCCCAGGGAGACCAGTCCTTGATATTGCTACATCCACATGACATAGTCCCCCGTGAGCCAGCCATTATTCACTAAGGAAGAAGTCAAGACTTAAGCTAACAATCGCAGTCGCAGGCAAGCGAACGAGAGAGCGAACATGGCGCCATCAGCGACAAGCACCGAGTGGGATCACCAATACAATACCGTTCGTCGCGAGAACCTTTTTCGCAACCCCCCGAAGGATCACACGGCCTATCCTGCCCTGCAAGAGGCTGTGAGCCCTCACATCGACTCCTTCAATGCCTTGTTCACAAGTGACGACAAGAGCCTCCTCGCTCGAGGCATAGAGGATATTGGCACAAAGACGTATCTTGATGGCGACGACAGGGCGGGCCTCGAAGGCAAGAACCGCCTGTCCGTACGGATCAAGAGTGTAGCGCTGCAAAAGTCCCAGCTACCCCCCTCCAACAAGTTCGCCAGGAATCGTGAAATCCTGCCCTCCGAATGCAGAGAGCGTCATTCGACGTACCGAGGCAGGCTATCCGCCACCTTCGAGTACAGGGTCAATGGTGGTGATCCGAAAGAATTTGTGCGCGAGCTTGGACAGGTGCCAATTATGGTCAAGGTAAGTGCTTTTGTACACCAATTGCAAACCTGACGGCGGGGTGCTAATGGGGGATTGGCAGTCCAACAGATGTCACTTGGAGGGCAACTCTCCGGCTCAGTTGGTGCAAAGAAAGGAGGAATCCGAAGAGCTGGGCGGTTACTTTATCGTCAACGGTATCGAAAAGATTATTCGACTGCTGCAAGTCAACCGAAGGAATTTCCCCATGGCGATCAACCGACCGAGTTTCCAAAACCGAGGCCAAGGCTACACCCCGTATGGTATCATCGTCCGATCCGTCAGACCTGATGAGACATCTCAGACCAACGTTTTGCACTACCTGAGTGACGGAAACATGACGTTCCGCTTCTCCTGGAAGAAGAACGAGTACCTTGTACCGGTCATGATGGTCCTTAAGGCTCTCGTCGACACAAACGATCGCGACATCTTCGAAGGACTGATTGGTCTCTCCAACACGAAGTCGGCCAAGAACAGTTTCTTGACGGACCGTGTCGAGCTGCTGCTCCGAACCTACAAGTCATACGGACTCTACAGCAAGACCGAGACGAGAGCCTACCTGGGAGAGAAGTTCCGCGTGGTGATGGGTGTACCCGACACCATGTCCAACTACGATGTCGGCACCGAGTTCTTGCGCAAGGTTGTTCTTGTTCACCTTGGTAACATCAACGTCACCGAGAAGCAGGACAACGATAAGTTCAAGATGCTGTTGTTCATGATCAGAAAGCTGTATGCTCTCGTGGCAGGCGACTGCGCCGTCGACAACCCTGATGCTGTCCAAAACCAGGAGGTCCTTCTTGGCGGTTTCCTGTACGGCATGATCATCAAGGAGCGCCTTGAAGAGTTCCTGTCGACTGCTGTCAGATTGTCTCTCCGCGAATGGACCAGAAAGCACCCGGCCACCCCCTTCACATCGCAGGACTTCGCCAAGGAGTTCCCTGCCAATATCTTCAGACACGCCAATGAGAACCTTGGAAACGGCCTGGAATATTTCCTTTCCACAGGTAATCTGACCAGTCCTTCTGGTCTTGATTTGCAACAGACAGCCGGTTTCACAGTTGTTGCGGAAAAGCTCAACTTTCTCCGTTTCATCAGTCACTTCCGAATGATTCACAGAGGTGCCTTCTTCGCCGAGTTGAAGACGACAACGGTCCGAAAGCTGTTGCCCGAGTCTTGGGGTTTTCTGTGCCCCGTACACACTCCTGATGGTTCGCCTTGCGGTTTGCTTAACCATCTGGCTCACAAGTGTAAGATCATGACCGAGTCCGTCGACGCCTCCAAGATCCCTGGCCTTGTGGCGGAGTTGGGAGCTGTGGAGACGTCTTCTGCGGCTACAGATGAAAGCGTTGTCATCATGCTTGATGGCAAGCTCATCGGCTTCTGCACACCTCGCGAATCTCTCAGAATTGCAGACACTCTCCGTTTCTGGAAGGTGGAGGGCACTCACGGCGTTCCTCTCCAACTGGAAATTGGATACGTCCCGCCTTCAAACGGCGGTTCATACCCTGGTATCTACTTGTCTTCTGCGCCTGCGCGTATGGTCAGACCCGTGAAGTATCTTCCTCTTGATAAGGTGGACTTTGTGGGGCCTTACGAGCAACCCTACATGTCTATCGCCGTTGTTGAGAACGAAATCGTGTCAGGCGAGTCGACGCACGTGGAAGAAACTCCTACCAACATGCTCTCCATTCTTGCCAACATGACGCCCTTCTCAGACTTCAACCAGTCCCCCAGAAACATGTACCAATGTCAGATGGGTAAGCAAACCATGGGAACACCGGCAACGGCTCTTCGGCACCGCACGGACAACAAGATGTACAGAATTCAGAGTGGCCAGACACCGGTGGTACGATCGCCTCTACACAACGCTTATGGATTCGACAACTTCCCCAACGGCTTCAACGCCGTTGTAGCGGTTATCTCATACACTGGCTACGACATGGACGACGCCATGATTTTGAACAAGTCGGCACACGAAAGAGGATTCGGACACGGTACCATCTACAAGACGAAGAAGGTCACGCTGAAGGAAGAACAGAGAACGCGAGCCACCAAGAATATCACCAAGCTCTTCGGTTTCGCCCCCGGCGGTTTTGTCAAGGGATTCTATCGTGGCTTGCTTGATGAGGACGGATTGCCCTACGTTGGACGCATGGTCCAAGAAGGAGATGTACTCTGCGCATGGCACACGGTGTCAGCAGACTACAGCGGCAAGCTGATCAACCTGGACGGACAGACACACTATGAAAAGTACAAGGAGTCTGAGACTGCATTTGTCGAGGAAGTACGTGTGCTCGGTAGCGAGTCGGGTAACGAGCCTGCCCAGACGATCTCCATCAAGCTCAGAGTTCCCCGATCCCCGGTCATCGGTGACAAGTTCTCTTCTCGCCACGGACAGAAGGGTGTCGCTTCCCAGAAATGGCCTGCTGTCGATATGCCTTTCTCAGAATCTGGTATCCAACCCGATATTATCATCAACCCTCACGCTTTCCCTTCTCGTATGACAATCGGTATGTTCGTCGAGTCACTGGCTGGAAAGGCTGGCGCGCTCCACGGATTGGCACAAGACTGCACGCCCTTCAAGTTCAACGAGGAGAACACCGCCGGTGACTACTTTGGTCATCAGCTGATGAAGGCCGGGTACAATTACCATGGCAACGAGCCCATGTACTCTGGTATCACGGGAGAGGAACTGGCCGCCGACATTTACGTTGGTGTCGTCTACTACCAGCGTCTGCGTCACATGGTCAACGACAAGTACCAAGTGCGAACGACGGGACCAGTCGTACCGACAACCGGCCAGCCCATCAAGGGTAGAAAGCGTGGTGGTGGTATTCGTGTGGGAGAGATGGAGCGTGACGCGCTGCTCGCTCACGGTACGGCCTTCCTGCTGCAGGATCGTCTGCTCAACTGTTCCGATTACACGCGATCCTGGATCTGCCGAAGCTGTGGTTCGTTCCTCTCAGTTCAACCAACCGTGTCACCTTTTGTGGGTAAGAAGAAGCAAGTCACGACAGTGCGTTGCAGAAACTGCGCAACCCGCCTCGACGCCGGCGACGCGGAGAGCGCCGCCAAGGTAGAGGGAGAGATCTGGGAGGATGGCCAGGGCAACCAGTGGGTCGGAGGCGAGAACACGACGATTGTCGTTGTTCCGGGTGCGCTCAAGTTCCTAGACGTGGAGTTGGCAGCTATGGGTGTCAAGCTGAAGTACCGCATCGACTCCAAGGATGCGCCTCGCAAGGGCCCTTTGAAGCCCATGAAATCATTACCTTAGAGGCTTAGATCGACGGCGTTTCGGTAGACAAAAGATGTATTCCACCTTGTACATACATTATGACTTCTTAATGGACAAAGGTTCACAATGCTGGTCAGAGTGGATCTCGCCGAGTAGTGATGGGTTTCCCTATCAATATTTCATGTTTGGATTCAACCCCTAAATCAAGTCTCAGCTTCGCGTTCAAGACTCTAAGCCGAACTCCGAAGGGGTTTGACAATCGACATAGACGGTGTGAGCGTGGACTACGTAACATCAACATGTGTAGAGCGGTTACAATCAGATGCTGAACCGTTTGTCTCATGTAGGTTACCGAATCAACAAACAGTCATTTGGACGCACATCGTACACACAATGTCGGCAGCCGCCTTGTGCAGAGTCTGACCGTCGATTGGCGGCAAAGATCTGAGAGATTTTTCTGCGTCTCCGTCAACGATGGCGCAAATTTGGCTGACTAAACTCATGGCGTACCTGAGAAGCCTCGTGGTATCCAAAGTTGTTGATTGTGGTTTCTCGTGGTCTTTCCAAAACCGAGGTAAGACAGAAGCTGTTGTAGCTCACCTTCAGGGTGGCTTGATATAGAAATGCCATGAGCCGCCGTGGGAAACCAAGATGTTTGAGATTGAGTCAGTGAAATCTTCATACCGATCAGGCTTCGTCCACCTAAAGACATCAGTTCTGAGAGTTCCTGCTCTATCTGAACAGTTCCACCTAGCTTGACGTGTCACCGCGCCCTGCTTCTCAGCTATCAATGTGAGATACCCTTCAACCAGTGCTTGATTGGACAGCAATTTACACAAGGTACGATAGTGATGTTTCTTGGAGCTTTGGGAGAAGGTACGCCATGTCACATTATGGTAGTTGGTCAAGAAGGCACGGCACGTTTTGTGGCAGGAAGATACCAAGGGCGAAAACCTGTGCCTTCCGCCTCAGTCTTCTTCTCTCACCAGTGCCTAGGTTGTCACGCCTCTCTTTCCCTTAATAGATTCGGATTACGTCGTGCAGAGGTACCTCGTCCCGACACCTTCCTGAATGACTCTGTTCCCAAATCTAGAGATTGCGGTTGGAAACCAGGAACTCAATGACGCAAGCACCATACCACCACGGCTATGCGGCGTGCCACTCGCATCCTGTTTGCCTTCCGTGACTACCTTAAAGTGTGCTTCAGTCCAAATTGCATTATATTGGCACGGAAATGTCCTTCGGTTCGTCCTTTTCGAACTTCCTTTTGGCCAGGCTATCTCCACCACAACTTGGATGTCGAGTCTGGCACTCATCAACATCCAAACAATCCCGGAATTTTGAACACGCTCATCTTGCTGTCATCATCACACCTGGTTCCCTTATTCAAGGCAATCTGGCTGTGCTGAAGTTTTGATCGACCTGGACAGCCCATACTTCGACCCTCTGACATCTACCACGTCTCAGCACCATCCTACGAAAACACTAATATTCATCGTCCTTGTCAACCTTCTCATACTCTTGGCTTTAACCTAGCCGACTGCAGCAAAGGGGACGCAGGAAAGGCGTTTCGTTGCGCCATGCTTCTATCTCTTGTGTTCCTTGCTACCGCCGCAGCGGCCATACCCTCTCCACCGGCCTACGACTATGGCTTCGAAGCGGCCAAAGTGGTCAAGCGCCAGACACAGGATCCAATCATTGTCACCAAGCTGCCTTCCATAAACGGAACTATTCCTAACCGCCCCGACATCAGAGAGTTGAAGGAGAACCCCTTCAAGTGGAATCTCTTCCTCCTTGCTTCAAGCATGTTTCAGTATACGAATCAAAGCGAACAGCTATCGTGGTATCAGATCGCAGGTAAGACTGAGTGGTCACTATCGCGTCGATTAGCTTTCTGATATACAGCAGGTATTCACGGCGTTCCTTTCGTCCCCTGGAATGGCGTGCCCGGCGTACCGGGAGGCGAAGAAAGGGGCTACTGCACCCACATGTCCATTCTCTTCCCATCGTGGCATCGCGTATATCTTGCTTTGTACGAGGTCAGATCCCATGAAGTTGTGACGCCACCCACAAAACGACTAACATCGTAGTAGCAAATTCTCTTTCAACTCATACAGATGATTGCCTCGTGGTTCCCAGACCCCACGGAACGAGCTTACTACCAAGCCGCTGCGATAGACTTCCGAATCCCATACTGGGACTGGGCTACTACACCGCCGCTCGGAGAAAGCGTCTACTTGTCTGAATTCGAGCAGCCTGCAATTCAAGTGTATGGCCCTAACGGATGGCAGACCATTGCCAACCCATTATACAGCTACAAGTTCCGGCCGCTGGACCCGCAGGTGTTTTCCCAAGGCGATGTAAGTAGTGGCTCCCACTTGATCAAAGAGTAGAATCCTGATAGTATAAGTTTCCCCATTGGACAGAGACAATGAGAGCTCCCTTCGAGACAACGGACAACAAAAGCATAGCGCACTCGATCGAGCATGCCAGACCTGCGCTTCAGCAACGACTCTATACTCTCCTTTCCAATTACAAGGACTTTGAACCCTTTAGTAACAAATTTTGGGGGATGGCGTCAAATCAGACGCAGTACGACTCAGTAGAGGCCTTGCACGATGCAATGCACGTGTTGGTGGGCGACCGCGGCCATCTGTATTACATTCAGTATTCGGCATTCGACCCGGTGTTCTTCTTGCACCATGCTATGGTGGAACGAATAGTCGCCATGTGGCAAGTTCTGTATCCTACCGCCTGGGTCACTTCTCAAGTCGCAATGGAGCCTTCCTTTACCATGTCGTCAGGGACCGTTCAAAACTGGCTCACGGAACTCAAGCCATTCTATGCGGACGCCAATGGCACCTTTTGGAACTCGGCGATGGCCAGAGACACTACGGCCTTCGGATATGCGTACGCAGAAACGAACCCGAGTCTGGGAATCCACAAGTCTGAGGAACAAGCTCGCCTCATAGCAACTATCAACAGACTATACGGCTCATCTAGCCCCTCAGGTCTGGCCCGGAAGCAACGGAGAGCAGCGTCCAAAAGAAAGGGGGGGCCGCTATCCCAAGTTCGAAAGGGAATTACTTCAAAGCATGTGCTAGACTTTTCACAAGACCCTGACCTTGAGACCAAAGTAGCGACTGAGGACGACATGTACACCGAATGGGTCGCCAATATTCATGTTCAGAATGGAGCATTGCATGGCTCGTTTGCAATCCATTTCTTCCTAGGTGAAGTTCCCGAAGAAGCCCCTTCTTGGGCATCTGCACCGAACCTCGTCGGATCAATGAGCGTATTTGCGATGAAGAACATGGGTTCAGGCAACCATGTGTCCGGAACAGTTCCTCTGACATCGGCCTTGATGCATATGGTTTGGGCGAGAACTATCTCAGGGCTCGAACCCGATGAGATCGTACCATTTCTCGAAGAACATCTCCAAGTTCGGATTGTCGCGGAAGGATCGATTGAAGTTGAAGCGACAAAGATAGATAGCCTACACATCCAGATCGCAAGTGCTCGTGTTCAAGCATCTAGACACGAGTGGGAGCTTCCAAAATGGGGGCCGATGGTGGAGAGGTTTGTGCTGAGCCTCGGCTGATGCCATCTCTGCGTTACGATTAGGAAAAGATTTAGTTACGGGAACATTTTCCTGGATCCATTGATTAGAGGACTTAGAGATAACTGCTCTTTAATGTGTAATTTGCTTATGACTTTCCGCCATTAAGTTGACTAAGGTAGTTAAGAAGTAAAGCTACCAGTCACGTGGACTGAGACTAAAGACTCACCTCGAGCGTGGACCCACTTCCCAGAAACGGGATAGCAGCTTTTCCGAAGCTTCAGCCTTCCGTCACCCAGAACTGCCAACCTCAGTCGCGAGGTCTCGCATCCAGTCGTCTTTGCATTTGACGAAAGACACGCTCAACATACGAACGCCGCCGCCAAAATGAAACTCGTCAGGTACGCGCAATTGATCACCCTTTTCCTCCTTCTGCCGTCAATTTGTGTGCTGAGCCCTCCTTCTCAGAGATGCAGAAGGTTGCTCGCCGTAAAACGAGGCCAAAATAAAGCTGACCAGAACTTCCAACAACTAGATTTTTGATGAAATGCGCCAATGAGACGGTGACAATCGAACTCAAGAATGGTTAGTAGACTCTTGTCATTTTGTCCTGCGGCTCTAGAAAAATGCGCAAAGCGCTGCATATCGTTTGCCAGACCGCATACTGACGCGTACAGGCACCATCGTTCACGGCACTATCACCTCGGTCTCGCCGCAGATGAACACGGCGCTGCGCACAGTCAAGATGACACCGCGGGGCCAGGACGCCGTCTCGCTCGATACCATGAACATCCGCGGCTCGACGATCCGATACTTTATCCTGCCCGACTCGCTGCCTCTCGACACACTGCTCATCGACGACCAACCGAAGCCCAAGAACAAGGCGCGCAAGGAGGCGGAGCGCGGCGGCCCCGTCCGCGGAGGAAGAGGCGGCCCCAGAGGAAGAGGCCGTGGTCGGGGACGCGGTCGCGGACGTGGCTGAGCTGGGGTTAATGGGACAAAATGAAGACACGCTGTTTTTTCGACGAGGGCCGACCGTCGACACCTGTTGTTACTGGGTCGACACCGACAATTGTTATGGGCGCCGAGAAAGGTTTCCTGCTTGCCTCAGGGAAAGAAAGACGGAAATAATACTCGTGAATCATGAAGAAACTCTTCATAGGGGGAAATATCTATGCCCAACCCCCTTAAGGACGACGGACCGTCGATGAACTTTTTTTTATTTTACAGTCCGGGCCTCGAGCTTGAAAAAAGACGGGCATCCCTACACATCAAGACCAACCGGATGCTATTCAGGCGTTGGGGGTGGTTAGGAAATAAAAAGAATACAATTCCAGTAAATGAAACTACAGATCTCGCAACTGAGTGTGCCATGAGGCTCGCCAGCACGAGCATGCGACTGAAATGAAGAAGTACACAGGTCAACAAGATGTCAAGATACAAGAGCTATCTATGTCCTACGTTTCTATGTAGACTGTTC